GGAGGCTTTTCCCTCATGGTGGAGAGATTTCCTCTTACTACCTGTTGTATCTCCAAGATAAAAGATGAAGGATAATCTCAACTGGCCACAGACAGCAGAAGAACCCTAATGGGGTTTTTATCCGATCCCTACTCTATGAAAACGAAAACAGTTTTGGCTAGAGATACTTTTTATTCAACATCTATGGACTAATGTACATTGTATTTTGTTTGTATCTGGGATACAAACTTCTTATACCCTTCTAACTTTACTCTACTCTATCCCAAAAAAAAAAGTTTGTCTGGATTTGGGCTTGAAATGATAACAAAAACGGCGTAGAGGCTTATTGGAAAATGTACAAAAGCCTTTCAATACCTGTATAGTGAGGAGATGTTCATTAGCAACCGTATGCTGAAAAACCACAGAAGAACGCAAGACTCCAGACTGGTCCAAAATAAATTTGCCTTCTTCGTTTCCACTTGATATGATGAACGTAAATGGGGGTCCATTGTGGTAAGAGTCTTTGTCTGTGACCACCAGCTGTAGAATACTTGTTCCAATGGGCTTGTTCTCCTGAAAGACACATAAGAATATTTATCAACATTATTTTTCATTCAAGTTTAATGTTTTTGTTTATTTTCCTTTAAATCCCTCTAAACATATCTATAGTGCTAAAATTGTGTTTGTAATATTTCCATGTCTCATGAGTTCTCTATAGGAATATATGGAGAACCAAGTTCTACAGGGGCCCTACTAGCCCTGTACTAAATTTCCTAATAGGATATATACTGCCTGGCCAAAAAAAAAAAAAGGTCACACAATCTAATATATAGTTGGATCGCCTTTAATTTTGATTACAGCATTCATTTGCTGTGCCACTGGTTCCATAAGCTTATGCAATGTCACAACATTTATTTCCACCCAGAGTTGCTTTAATTTTTCACCAGGATCTTGTAGTGATGATGGGAGAGTCGGACCATTGCGTAAAGTCTTCTCCAAAAATGGGGTTAAGTTTTGGACTCTGTGGTGGCCAATCCATGTGTGAAAATGATGTCTCATGCTCCCTGAACCACTCTGTCACAATTTGAGGCCGATTAATCCTGGCATTGTGTGATGTTTTGAAGTGCCCACCCTTCCTTCTGGAGGGGGCCTTCTTTTGTTCCCCATGGTCCCTGCTTGTGTTGTAAAGTAGCCACCGCTCCAAACTCGCTTCCGTGGTGGACTACAATCTCATGTTTAGTTTGCTAGTTTGTATTGTAATTGTAGTCCATCATGGGAGTAAGCTTGGGGCGGTGACTACTTTACAACACACACAGGGACCATGGGGAACATAAGTAGCCACCCTCCAGGAGGAAGGACAGTGTCAGCACCAATTCACAGATGATTTGAGCCTCTACAGCCGAGTGATACACAAATAAGATACATTTTTGTTAGTAGTTAAGGTACCTGAATGTATTTTTAAGATTTAACTCCTGATTTTAGTGTCACTTTAAATGACAGTTACTTTTATAAAGTCTAGTTTAGTCAGCACGATGCAGCGCTCCGGCATAGTAAACCCAAACAGAAATCATTCACAAGGTCCCAGTCATATGGAATGTTTCGGTCAAGTGATTAAGCCTCGCCGCTGCCTGTTTACAACAATAACCCGACTATGACCTGCATTATATATTAAACATCTTCTGCTCAGCTGCACATGTTCAGCAGGAAGAGTCAATATTTCTCAGCAGGGATACAGAAAAATTACTATTACTCTATATCCGAGAAACATTATACAGTGTATTTAATCCCAAAAGAAGGAGAAGCTAGCCCAGGAGTTGTGCAGATCTCAGACGTGAAACACGTTGTGTAGGAAATCTCTGATCTGCGTATTATCCATGGCACTGTGGAATGCACTGGACGCAGCCTGATGTCATAGCGAACACACCAGATGTTTAATTTTTCATGTAGGCACTTCATTAGGGTGTACTACCGTGCCGGATGCTGATCCTTCGCTGTTGAAAATATGTGGAAGAGCAGATAAAAAGCCTAAGCAGGTCATTTACAGTGAAACCCAAGGTATACAGATAAATACAGAGTTAAAATACACACACAAACACACACACATATAGATATATAGATATGTATCTATATATCTATATGTGTGTGTTTTACCTGGGAAAAGATTTGTAATTTTGTCCACACAGTACAGCCCTGTCTGGCAGAACAGGAAACCTGCTTTCTGTACACTGCAGTTAGGTAACACTAAGCAGTCTTGTCCCTCACCCAGTCTGTGACTGGACAGTAAAAGGAGAAGCAGCAGCACATTTAGCAGACAGTGAAAGGAGAAGCAGCAGCTTGTTTATGTGTCACTCTGCTCTCTCCTTTTATCTGCATATGTCCCTTGTTAACACAACTGATTGACTTAAGTTGAGATACTAAAGCTGGCCATACACCTTACAATTATCTGCGGATTTTCTGTGGTCAGATGGAAAAGGTGCAACAGATTCCTCAATCTACACTTAACTGTGTGTATGGAGTAATCTCCACCTGGGCCAATCTGTTGCACTTTTTTCATCTGACCACAGAAAATCTGCAGATAATTGTAAGGTGTATGGCCAGCTTTACATTGCTTGCATTTAATAATTTACTAGCAAAATGCTTGTTACACATGATGCATATGGAAATACATGTCAGTGAGTGCTAAAGTACACCTTGTTGCAGTTTTGGGGAGTGCAGAAAAGCATGTAGTTGCCATGTTGAAAAGTGTAGAAATGTGGTGTCAACTAGTTTAGAAATGTGGTGACAGCAAATGCATTGTTGGCTCGTGCAAAAGTGGGCGGCAGCATAGTGTCAGTTAGTGCATAATATTGTAGTGTAGTGGTTCTGCTTGTGGGCTGTAGTGACGACAATAGGGGTCCTTACACAATGGTGTGGTGGCGACTAGTGGGGTCCTGCCACAAGTGTGGATTAAGCCAAATGGCTCAATGCACCTAAACATTTAGCAAAATATTCACTTCTAGAACCTAGATGAATGCTTTGTTACATGTGATTGCGCATTGAGCCATTCGGCTAGATGAACACTGTGAAGGCTTCTTAAGCCAGGGTTCTCAACCTACCTGACCTGCCATCAGCTGGGTTCTCAACCCACAAGGCTTGCCATCATCCAGGGTTCTCAACCCACATGATGTGCCATCATCCATGTTTCTCAACTCACCTGACCTGCCATCAGCCAGGGTTCTCAACCCACCTAACCTGCCATCAACTAGGGTTCTTAACCCATCTAACCTGACATCAGCCAGGGTTCTCAACCCACCTAATCTGCCATCAGCCAGGGTTCTTAACCCACCTGTGCTGCCATCAGCCAGGGTTCTCGACTCCCTTGACCTGCAATCATCTAAGGTTCTCAATCCACCTAACCTGCCATCAGGGAGGGGCATCAACCAATCTGGCCTGCCATCAGCCAGGGTTCTCAATCCAACTTTACAAAACACAAAAAGATCCCCAGCGTACCTGCCAGCGTACCTGCCAGCTAGCCTGCAACAAAACAAATTACCCTGTCAACAGTATGCGTTAAAAACAGAGGTTTTAGTTGCACAAACGTTTGGCCAAATTTTTTTCTAGTTTGACTATTTTTGATGTGGGGACGCACTGAGGGTCCCAGCGTGCATTTTTGGCTGCTGGGCCCCCAGTGCATCCCTGCACCTTTTGAGGAGGAGTAGGCTGCCTCCCAGGCACACCTGCATTGAATTTATCAACTTCATTAATAATCTCACACTTGGAGACTCAAATAAATAGAGTTAGGACCACACTTTGCAGAGGTGACTTGACGGTGGCAGTGTGGCTTCTACATATTTTTGGCCAAAAGTTTGTGCAACTAAAACCTCTGTTTTTAACGCATACTGTTGACAGGGCAATTTGTTTTGTTGCAGGCTAGCTGGCAGGTGCGCTGGGGATCTTTTTGTGTTTTGTATTGTTGTAAGCCTTCTGATGTGCGCCCTGCTATAAAGGCTGGTTATAGATTCATGCGGTTGCCATTTTTTCTAGTTCTTCTTTCTTTCTTAATCCAACTTACCTGCCATCAGCTAGGGTTCTCAATCCAGCTGACCTGCCATCAACCAGGGTTCTCAACCCACGTGACCTGCCATCGGCCTGGGTACCTACCTGATCTGCCATTACGTTCCTGCTCTAGGAGGGAAATAGTGAGAAGTGGAGCTGGAAGGACATACTGTGTGCAGGGCATGTGAGCAGGACTTGGCGCCAGGGCATGGCACTAGGGGCCCTCAGTGCACTGCACTCTACTGAATTATATGTGCAAATGGAAATGCTTTATATGTGCAAATGGAAATGCTATCTGATGCCATTGCTAGAGAATCATTTCACCTCTATGTGCTACAGCTGAGAATCACAAGACCTCATGCGTCTCTGCTATAGCCCAGGAAGTGAGAGGGAGTGAAATTTAACAGCCAACACCATACTTATTGAAAATGTACAGGCCAAAGAAACTGTAAACATAATTAGCAACCTTATTTCCATACCGGCTCTAGAAACCTCCATCTCACCCAATAAGAAATGTTCATATTCTGCTTGTTAAAACCGCATGGTAGCACTGTGTTTATCTTAGCAATCCGTAGGCAACCAGATAATCTAAGCTGTGCTTAAATGTTTTCTAAGGCGATAAGGAAAATCCGCCATATATCTCATTAGACGCTATAAGCATTTTCCAAAGATTCCATTAGCACAATAGAAGAAGATAGATACGATGTTATGTTTACAAAGCTGATGAACTCAGTGCCCTGCCTTACAACATGAAATCCATTATTTAGATTTATCTAGTGAGCATTGCACAGAATTCAAATCACGGCTTAGCGCTGTGCTGCAGCTGATTGGAGGTCTGCAATTATCTGTCAGTAAGTAATGGCCTCAAAGTGTGCATGGCCCTATCAAGATCATTAAGGTCAACATCATCTACATTAGATTTCCCAACATGTGCAGACAGATTTTAGCTTGTGATGAAAAGTTCAGGGTTACAAAAATCTTTAGGCATTAGTTTGTATTTCTAGCTAAATCTGCAAATTTAGTATTTTCGGGCTAAACCAAACTAAAATTGTATATTTTTACTAAAAAAAGCAAAATTTCAGAACTTCTCAAGTTTGCTCCCTTCTAGTCTGTAAAATATACTAAAAGCATTTAGTTACAGTATATCTGTTCGATCACCATAAAAAATGCCTGTTGATCATCTCAAAAATGCTGAACTGTTCTGTGTTTTCTCAAGGAGTCTATTAGTCTATTAGGCCCTCCTAGTTGTTATCGTATGACTACAGAATGATTAGTCTTTATGTGGTGGTTAATAGGAGGGGGGGTGGGTCTTAGTAGTTTAGCAAAGGACAACTGGGCAAGGCTGACACCACTAAGTCAACAAAATTCTGTACGTTGTAAGTCAACAAGACTTAGTAGCTGAGTGCATTTCCGGCAGATCATTGGTTATTGTTCTTGCATAGTCTTTTCAAGGGATAAAACATGGGGAAATGTGCATGTACTGCAGAGAAGAACTATAAAGAACTATAGACAAAAAAAATAATATATATATATATACTGTGTATATATTCTTGTATATATTCTTCACTTACA